AACTTAAGAAATTATTTAACATGGCGTCCATTGAACGCGAATCGTCGGCAGCCTTGAAGGAGCTGCAAAATACAATCCAAAATTGTCTAACATCGCTGAGAATTTCCGGCCTTTCTACTGAGAATTGGGATTGCCTCCTTGTTTATTTGTGCTCCACAAAACTTCCAAAGCTGACGCTTTCATTATGGGAGCAATCCATCGAACAAAAAACCGAAATTCCTACGTGGCCGGAACTTGATTCATTCCTAACAGAGCGCTATAGAACTCTGGAAGCCATAGATTCTCTCCAGCCTACTGTGACACGCTTTCGTTCATCTAAACCGACAATTTCCAACCCATCGCCACGAGTACTACAATCCTTTAGTACGAGGATTCTTCATACGTCCAAAAGATGCGATTGCGATGCACTCCGTAATTGCACAAGCGCCCACAATTGTCTTACTTGTCACGGTCGGCATCACACTTTGTTGCATCCAAGCGACTCATCTTCCAGTGTTCCGATTCCTCGTGATGACACCCGACAAATATCTCCACCTATCCAACGGATTTCGTCGTTCTCTACACGAGTGACCAATGCGGCCGACTCCTTCAACTACTGGGTTCCATACAACGGCAACAAAAGCAGACGTTCCCGAGGTATTTCATCCTACCAATGCCGAGTCTGTCAAGGGAACCATCCTCTTCGGAAGTGCCACCGTTTTCTTCGGCTTGATGCGAAGAAACGGCTCCAGGCAGTCATCGACAGGAAATACTGCGTCAACTGCTTGGCCCACCACCATTCTGGAGGATCTTGCCGTAGTAACGACCGATGCCAGTCGTGTGGACAGGATCATCACACACTTCTACATGCCGACGACCGCTCAGCGACTCCAACACTTTCTCGAGCGAAGGACTTCTGATATTTTGCTGCGTATCCTCGCAAGGGGGGAGAATGTTCAGGTCAGGAGCTTATGTTCCCGCCCCCCGCGACTCCGAAGCGCTCCCGCTTCTTCAAAGCTCCTCAGCTCGCTCTCTCGCTCCCGCTCTTCTAGCGGATGCTTCGGCTCTGGCCGATCGTCGCATCGCTGAGCGGCCGCTCCCGCTCTCCTAGTTGTTTGATCTCCCACTCCAGCTTGTATTTTTAATTCCTAATTAGAACTCCAATAAAGCGGATCGTTAACATTGAGAATAACCACGCCCCCCCGGCCTACTACTTTCTTGCGGTATTCTTTTTGGTGGTGATTTTCCCTTTCGCGATTTCGGTGATTTCTACGGTGGTTTTCGTTGACTGCGGCGCGGGAGTTGTTACAAAATAACTTTGTGCTTATCTGGAGATATTGGAAATTGAATTTCCCCCCCCTTATGAAATAAGAGTTATTTTACAATTATATAGAAAAAATAGGAAATTAATTCTTATTATTCAAGTTTCATAAAAAAGTTGTAGAATAATTATTATTTTTCAATTTGTATATAAAAGTTGAGTTATAACAGTTATTTTCAATTTTTAAAATAATAATTGAAAATTAAAATTATTTTCCAATTTTTATTTTAAAAATTGATAATAATAATTATTCTCCAATTTTTATTTTAAAAATTGAAAATAAAAATTGAATAGCAATAACTTTCCAACGGAGCGGTATATCTTAAAGGCATATGCATATATAATGATTCTACGCTTCAATACCTTTCGTTTGATGTATATATTGTGGTTATTGCATGTACACAAATATGTACATGAACATAAGTGCATATAATAAAAAATTAACCGTTTCACAAACAAACATGAATACTGAGATAATTACCCAGCTACAGGTAATAATATTTAAATATAAAGGTGACAATTTATTATATATATTTTTGTTATCTGCATTTTGGGCTTTCCATTTGTAAAAGGTATTTTAGTATCCTTGTTTGTTTGGGGAATGTAATAAGCAGTACGTATACGCATATTTTTATGCATAAGCAATAACAACAATATATACATCAAACGAAAGGTATTGAAGCGTAGATTAATTACATATATAAATCTTTAAGATATACCGCACCGTTGGAAAGTTATTGCGATTCAATTTTTAAAATAAAAATTGGAGAATAATAATTATTTTCAAGTTTTAAAATAAAAATTGGAAAATAATTTTAATTTTCAATTATTTAAAAATTGAAAATAACTGTTATAACTCAACTTTTATATACAAATTGAAAAATAATAATTATTCTACAACTTTTTTATTAATATTTAAAAATAAGAGTTAAAGCGCAATTAAAAAATAAAAATTGGTTATAAAAGTTTATTTTATTTTTGAGAACTCCTTCAAAAATTATGGTGTTCCTAAATATTTCATCTTTCTAGCTCAATTTTTTGGTAATAACTTTTATTTTACTCATAACTCTTATTTGCAATCCCTGGTAAAATGTAATGAAACTCTGTTTTGTGAGTGTTTTCAGCATTTCAATCTATAATATATACATCAAAACCTATCTGCAAGGGTATACAAACTTCGGCGTGCCGGAGTTAGCTTCCTTTCTTGTTTTTTGTGCTTTAGAAAATGGTTACCAGAAGAAATATATCTAAAAGTTTTTCAATGAACAGTAATCTAATACAATTTGGCGATCGAGGTCTGGATGTCTTTACAATACTTTATCCTCATTATGTTTCGATTTATAATGTAGATCCTTTGAGGAGGTCATCTTATTTAACGTTCGAACTGTTTGCCATTGGGGTTGCAACACATATATATCATGTGTGTGAATAACGTAATTCTCCTCAAGACGTTCTGGACAATAGATCGAATGGTGGTTGTAGGCCGGTTGGCCGTTATCCACTTGCAGTCGGGTGCTGGGCAAAGGGTGCTGGGCAAAGGTCGCAGGATGCAATTGACCGGTAGGCCGTTGTTCACCTATGATGAGGTAGGAAAATCGAAAACTACCCTTTATAAGCTGCTGCCTAGGGACTTAGTCAGATGAGATAATATTAAAATAATTTGTATGAGAGCTTAAACTCTTTAATGTATTAATCCTCAAAGTGAACTGACTTAAAACACTTAACGAAAATTAAACTTTATATAGGCCTCGCAAATGTAGAGTTTGTGACGCTTGTACGCGCACAATATATCTTAATAGTAAGAAATATAACAAAATAGGAGCAATTAGCGACATAAGGAAATGGATCGGCAACATTATGGAGATAATTTGAATTGAATGCGCGCGCGCGCCACTGATCGCGAGCGGAGGGTCACACTAGACCGAACGACTGGCCACACTATTCGGGCAAAAATCCCGCACAGGACTCTGGCCACACTGAAGCCTCGCCAGGGCCTATATAAAGCGGACCACGGCCCTGGAGTAATCACTTAGCAGCCGACTGCGATCGGGTCGAGTTAACCTCCCCAGTAGTTAGCAGCGAAGTCACTTTTTGGGAACTCAGGTTCCTATTTATAAATCGTAGTTAGGATCTCTGCAGACTTTCGAGTCCAATTCTCTCTGCTGACTTTCGAGTCCAAAACACTGCAGACTTTCGAGTCCAATTCTCTCGGCTGACTTTCGAGTCCAAAACACTGCTGACTTTCGAGTCCAATTCTCTCTGCTCATATCTAAAAGTAGCTAAGAATATGTTGAAAAACAACGAAGTTATAGTTTTTCCCCCATTAATTTCCCGATCGTTCCTATGGCAGCTATAAGATATAGTCATCCGATTTTCATAAAATTTTTACCAAAATTCTGGAATAATACAAAAAGGCCAAATCCCAAAAATGATGCAAACATTTTGAAAAACACCCAAGTTATACATTTTTTTTCTAAAAATTTATCGAACATTTGTATGGCAGCTATATGATATAGTCGTCCGATCCGGCCCGTTCCGACATATACCAGGTGTGTTAGTTGAAGTTTGCCGGTTTTTTCGATGAAGAAAACACTCAATTTTCAAGAGAATGTGAAAAATTTGTTATTTAAAGTATTGACCATTAGCTTCTACACATTTCGCCCATCTTTCAGGCAAATTATGGATACCATTCTAAAACAACTTTTATATATGTATATATATATATATATATATATATATATATATATATATATTATATATGTATATATATATATTATATTAAAGAGTGTGGATCTGTGAAGACCATGAGGCAAATGGTCAAACTGGAAATCGGAGATATCGACAGCATCACACAAGAAGACGAAATAATATCATCAATTAGAGATAGCATAGGCGAAACAAGCCAGGATATAACAATTCACCTGCCGGGAGTAAATAGCTCAGAACAAAGACGAGCCTTCGTTACGCTACCAACGAAAGATGCGGCGAAGATATTGACGGAACAACGGATAAAAATAGGGTGGACCCGGTGCCGGGTGAAGCGTTGTATCGACATAAAGAGATGTTTCAAGTGTTTCGGGGCTAGACATTTGCAAAAGGACTACAAAGGACCGGATAGGAGAGACCTCTGCATCAGATGTGGTGACAATGGACACAAAATAAATACCTGCACCAAAGCTCTAAGATGCTCTATCTGCACAGCAGAGAACAGGAGCGATGTTGGACACCTCCCTGGGACAGCGCATTGCCCCAGCGTGACAAGAAACGGAAAGCCATGAAGATCCTTCAAGCAAATATGCATAGAAGCAGAACGGCAAATGACCTGCTGCACCAAATTGTGCTGAAAAACCAAATTGACGTTGTTATCATAAGCGAAGAATACAAGGAACGGGAGGAAGGATTCTAGCTGGAAGACGACACAAAGACGGCGGCCATATGGATTCCGGACCCCACCACGGCTCCACACACAAGTAAGAAAAAAGGAAGATGCCACGTCATTATACAAATTAGAAACTGGACGATATTCAGCTGCTATTTGACCCCAAGTGACGACATTCAGACTTTCCAGACGAAACTTGAAGATATTGAAGAGAACGCAAGGCACATAGGTGAAAACCTTATAATAGCTGGGGACTTTAACTCAAGAGCTCAGGAATGGGGTATGCTATCAACTGACTCTCGAGGCCGTAGGGTCCTAAACATGGCCGCAAGAACCGGGATGCTAACAGCAAATGTAGGTGCAATACCCACATTCAATCGAGTAGGGAACGTGGGCACAATCCCCGACATAACACTAGTGACAGAAAACTGCGCGCACAAATTCGCCGAGTGGAAAGTCCTTGATACCTATAACGGAAGTGACCACTGCTATATTATGTTTGACATAGCAGAAAACGAAGTGACTACATTAGCACCAACGAGGAACGGATGGAACGCTAATCGACTGGACAAAGAAAGGCTTATTCGAGAAATTGACGTAAGGCTGAACCGACAGAGAGGCGGTAACATAATCAACAACAACATGACAACCATAAGGCAGGCCTGCAACGCTGCAATGCCTAAAATGGGCAATCCTCGCAGACAAGGACAAGAAGCGAACTGGTGGACCCAAGAGATTAAAGCTCTCAGAGAAACGTGTATAAAAAACAGACGCCGCCTTACGAGGGCTAGACGGAGAGGGATCTTTACAGAAGAAGAGAGCCCATTTAAGAAATCCAAGAAGGATTTAAATATTGCCATCCGAAAAAGCAAAACGGAGAAATGGAAACGCCTCTGCAACGATGTCAATAGTGACCCATGGGAGCTCGGATATAAAATCGTGATGAAGAAGCTCAGAACAAGAAATCCAACACCGGATCTAGAGGAAGAGCAAATGGACCAAATAGTCAAAGCACTATTTCCCGCCCATACAAATAGCATAGCGAGGACTACTCCACCAATAGCTGAACACCAGATCGAGCTCTTCACTGAGGACGAGCTACTGAAATCGGCAAAAACCTTAAAAGGAAGAAGGCCTCAGGGCCCGAAAACATTCCAGCAGAAGTCCTAATAACGATCGCGGAGAACCGACCCTATTTCCTATTGGATATGTATAACGAGTGCATTGCCAGCGGGAAATTCCCAGACATTTGGAAGGTGCAACGGTTGGTCCTGATAAGCAAGGGCAAGGGAGACCCCCAAACCCCGTCAGCTTATCGACCATTATGCATGCTTAACACAACCGGGAAGCTAATAGAGAAATTGGTCAAGCCACGACTAGCAGCAGCGATCGAAAGAGGAGGGGGTTTTCCCCGAGGCAGTATGGGTTTAGACCAGGAAGATCGACCATTGGAGCAATCCAAGAAGTTGTGAACCAAGCTCTCAGCAGCCAACAGGGCAACAACTTCTCGAGACCGGTAGTGCTCCTAGCCACTCTGGACGTTAAAAACGCCTTCGACAGCGTTAGAAGGGACAACATAATTGATGCTCTGAAAAGATTCCAAATCCCAGGATACCTGATGCGGATAATACAGGACTATCTTGACAACCGACGACTACTGTATCAAACAAAAGCAGGAGAGAAATGCATGCAGATAACTTCAGGAGCCGCACAAGGATCAATACTTGGACCAGAGCTATGGAACATCAGCTATGACGAAATTTTCTACCTAGACATCCCAGAGGACACGACTATCGTCGGATACGCAGACGACATAGTCGCAGTCATTACAGCTCGGAATACCGAGAATGCACAACGCAAGCTGACGCAAGTAATGATACGTGTAAAAAGATGGCTGAACTCACACGATCTAAAACTTGCGGACGAAAAAACGGAGCTATTGTTAGCTAACAGGAGAAGGATCCCCCTAGAAATAGATATGAGAGTAGGGGAAAACGTTATAAGAACGCAGAAGGTCATAAAGTACCTAGGAGTAAAACTTGACTCAAAACTAACATTTAGTGCACACATACAAGGGGCGAAGAAAAGAGCGACCGAGACTACAAAGGCGCTTAGCAGACTCATGGCCCAAGTGGGCGGCCCATTACCATCAAGACGAAAGCTTCTAATGGAGATAAACCACGCAATCATGCTGTACGGATGCGAGATCTGGGCAGGAACCCTTGAGACAGCCTGCAGGACCAAACCTCTACAGGAGGTGCAAAGAACGATGGCTTTACGAATCGCGAGCGCGTATCGAACGGTATCCGGTCCGGCTGCACTAGTAGTTGCAGGCACGATACCAATCGACCTTTTAGCCAAAGCGCGTAAAAGGATATACGAAAGACGACAAGATGGAGACACGACTAGGGCACTAATCGAGCGGACCAGAGAGGAAACCCTCCGATAATGGCAGAAAAGATGGACAGCAGAAGGGAGAGGCAGATGGACAGCTAGGCTGCTACCAAACCTGGTTGCATGGTCTGCAAGGAAACACGGAGACGTGGATTACTACGTCACGCAGATGCTGACAGGCCATGGCTACTTTGCCGCGTTTCTACACACGATAGGAAAAAGAACAGATGCCAGATGCATATACGGAGATGCGGAGATCGACAGTGCTGAACACACCATCTTTCAATGCGCAAAATTCGGACCGGCGCGCAGGTCCTTGGAATAAGTGGTTGGGACAATAACCCCTGAAAATATTGTAACAAAAATGGTAGGCAGCGAAGCGGCATGGAAGCACATCGCAAGATTCGTGGAGAACATCCTTCGAGCAAAGAAGCCTGATCTGGATGAGACAGCTGGGTAATCTGGACGCAGTAAGAAGATGAGAGCGTATAGCGCTTAACTGGCGCCACCTGGAAGTAATGCGAAAGCTTTTCCGAGGTGGAAACACGGCCAACGACGAGGGGTGGGTTTAGTGGGTGCAAGTCCCACATACTCTGTTTTGCGACGGCAAATGGGAAGATGTGTGAGGCATTCCCCATCCTCAACCCAAAAAAAAAAAAGTATTAAAATATATATATTTTTTTTTGGGTATTATTCTATAGCTATCTGGATTTATCGCTCCGTTTTCACTTTGACACCTTTTGAGCGATTACCTGTAAAAATTCTACACCTGTTGTAGCTTTACATTAAAGCATTGGTTATCGCAATCGCTCTTATACATATAAGCCAAACTTTATTAAGGGGGTTTACTGATTTAGGAGGCAAAAAAAATCGATTTTTTTTTATTGCTTAAATCGATAGATAAACTATCTAAGAATATATCACAAAAATTTCAGAAGCCAATTCGAAGTATTTTCGAAGATACAGAGATGAAAGCAAAGGAGCGCCGGGTAGGTTTGCACGCGCTTGGCGAACTTTGAGGCCCGTTTTCTCACTTTTCATTTTTACGATTCTTTCGAATTGGCGGGAAAGATAACAAAAAAACTTATTGACCGATTGAAACGAATAAAGGCTTATTCTCTTTAGAATTAAATTCTCTTCTAGTTGAACTAAAACGGTTGTTGAAAACCGCTTTTTATATTTTTTACAGCATGTTAAAGTCAATATTTTATCCCGAAAAATGCATTTTTTTTTTTAAACCTGAATAAAAGTTCCGATTTCACGATTTTCTCCTGTTTTTCTTAGTTCATGTAGAAAATGCCCTTATAAAAATTGAAAATTTTTTTGAATTTTTTGTTTCAGACAAGAATTACGAGCTGCACATTTCCCGCCAATTAGGGACTGCTGTGACGAGGCGCTTCAGTGAACTACTTATAAGTCCGCCATTTTGAAATATATATACAGTAGAGTCCGGTTATAGCGACTTTCAAGGGACCGACGATTTTACGTCGTTATACCTGGAAGACGCACTAACCGAAAGGAGCAAAAACAAAAACATTCATAAACTGTTAAAGAACCTAAAAAAACGGAACATTGGTTTGTGCTTGTACAACTAAATCGCTACCTGCCAGGTTTCCATTTTTTTCACCTTTTTATACCCTTGCAGGGTATTATAATATCAGTCAGAAGTTTGCAACGCAGTGAAGGAGACCTTTCCGACCCTATAAAGTATATATATTCTTGATCAGCATCAACAGCCGAGTCAATCTAGCCATGTCCGTCTGTCCATCTGTCCGTCTGTCCGTTTCTACGCAAACTAGTCCCTCAGTTTAAAATCTATCTGAACGAAACTTTGCATATAGTCTTCTATATGCTCTCACTGCTATACCAGGGGTGTTAGTTGAAGTTTGCCGGTTTTACTGTTGATGCCGCTAGCAGTACTATATACATTTGTATCATTCGGAATATGTGTCATTTTTTTCTGTTGACATTAACCTTAAGAAATACACAAGTCGCATTCCGTCAAAATAAAAACATCATATTTTTTTACCTCAGTGAGTATGTCGAGTTTCGTTCCAAGTAAATCGAATTTGCGGGACCCATGTGGTGTCGTGTAATTCGAGTTATTAAAATCTTGGTCAAATTGTTAAAAAGTATCGCTACCGACGACAAATTATCAATTTGAATAATGCGTTGATCGAAAAACGGCCGAATGGGCCCGAAAACATGGCAAAGTTATCTTGCAACATGACAACGCTAAACTGACGAAGGACACACTGAAAGGACTTGATTGGGAAATATTATCGCCCCCGCTGTACTCTCCAGACCTCGCCCTGTCCGACTATCAATTTTGAAGAAGTCGAAAAATGGCTCGTCGAATGGTTTGCCTCGTAAGAAAAAAAGTTGTTTTAGAATGGTATCCATAATTATATTATATATATTATATATATATATATATATATATATATATGTATCAAGAGGCGTAAAAAACATGAAAGAAGGATACTGACAAATAATACATATATATATATATATATATATATATATAATATATATAATATATATACCATATATATATGTATATATATTTTAATACTTACGTGTTATAAAAATCAAATAATAATATGCTGTCATCGGTCAATTTATGTTAAGTCCTAGGAAACAGCATAAATTCAAAAACAGATCGACAAATGTACATATAATATTAAGTATAAAAATATTTTATGATAGGTGGAGAGAGTTACAACTTTGTTTCTGAAGACCCCTATTTTTTAAGAGTAGTTAAATAAGCCTGGTTTCGGGACCTTTGATGTCGGTAAAAAGGGTAATAAAAATGCAATTAATGGATTAGCTGTCAAAATTAGAGTGGTTTAGATAATAAAAATGCACTTAGTTAGGGGGAGATATGAACCTGTCATAAGAGGGGGTAATAAAGATGGAATAAATTAGGGTCAGTGCATGTAAAAGGACACTTGAGATCAAGTGTTCAAGGGATTCCCACAGGGATATGGATACGAGTGCGAATGCAACGGAGCGATCCCGGTAGCGACCCCGGATCGATGCACGTGCACCGACGACCCCTCACTTAGAGGGTGAGGCAATTGAAAAAGGGCGCACCGGGGAGATCCTGCACCGACAGGAGTGATCCTGACCCACACGTGTACGTTCACCCACTTAAGGCAATTGAAAAAGGGCGCACGGCGGCGGTCCTGCTCCGCCCGGAGTGATCCGGAGCATCCCGTGTACGTTCACCCACGATCCTCGTTTGAAAAAGGGACGGGGTGGATCCTCGTTTGAACAAGGGCGCCAGACGTGATCGTTCAGGCAACATCCTCAATTGATAAAGGGACGGGGTGTAAGTGAACAAGGGCGCCAGACGTGAACGTTCAGGCAACATCCATCGCTTGATAAAGGGACGGGGTGTAAGTGAACAAGGGCGCCAGAGTCGAAACATGTTCCCACCCACGACTCAGGACTGTGATTTTCCCTGTGAGATACCTCACTTGAAAAAGGTCACTTGTTTTCCCACTGAAGGGCCGCTGGAAAGAGGATCAGAGCAGTCAAATTTTCCCACCCTCATCCCACCTACACTAGATCAAGTGCGTGCAACAACCTGCTCAATTAGCTCACCAAAGTAGGGATGGTGAAGGATGCACTTGTAACGGTTACTCAACGAAGTTGGATCACACTTCAAAAAAGGATGGAAAGGTTGGGAATGGACATCAAGTGTTTGTCCCACATTTTTCGTATTTGTTTGTTGATCGTTTTGCGGGTCTACGAAAAGACTAGTTGTGACTTAAGAATCACTCCTAGTTTGTGTCTCAACCGTCACCATCAACCGCCGCCGCAACCGCAACCGAAAATTTCAAAGTGAAATAAAAAACAAGTGCAAAGTGTAAAAAAGTTTGTAAAATATAATTTACAAAATACACAAAATCGAAAAAAACCTTAAAAAAATTAATAACAAAAAACCAAAAGTTTTTAAAAACAATCAAAAACAAACAAAACCAAAAACCTTAAAAAAATTAATAACAAAAACCAAAAGTTTTTTAAAACAATCAAAAACGAACAAAACCAAAAATCTTAAAAAAATTAATAACAAAAAACCAAAAGTTTTTAAAAACAAACAAATACAAAAATGTACGCCAACAACAACAACATCATCAACAACAACATGAATGCAATTTATTGCAACTCCTGCCAGCGATACCTACCCCTATCAACTCAATGGCACAACCATGTGCGGACGGAGCAGCACAAATATTTTGCTACCCGACCCCTGGATGGGAGTGTAAAGCAAATCATCGATGGATACAAGGGACGCATCCTTCAGTATATGTTCATAAATGAGGGAGCAGCTCTTAGGATTTCTGTTGAATTCCTAAATGAAGCGGGCCAAGCGCTACTCCCTCATATCGAAAGAGTGCAATCGTTCCACACAGCTTCAAAAATAAATTTGAACTGTTTGCAGAATACATGTTAATTAAAGAACATGAAACACAAGTGGAAATGAAATCGTTTCAGAGTAAGATGACTCTGCTTACGATTGGCTCAAATTTATCCGATTTATATAATTCCCACACTGAAGCCATTATTACGAAAATGGGTGAGTTCCAAGAGAAGGACAGTGGATGGACCCTAACACGCATAGTTAGGGTCGAGTTGAACATGATGCAATGTGTTCTTCTCAAGGGATCTGAGTATTTCGATCTCCCTCCCTCTCTTAAAAAACGCAGAGCATGCATCAATGTGCAGAATAGGGATGTTTTCTGCTTCAAGTGGGCAAAAGTCTCAGCACTTAACCCCTTAAAAGAGAAAGGAGAAAGGTGCAATGCCTATGGTGTGGATATTAAATCACCAATTATCCACACCAATAATATAAAAATCGATTTTACTGGGTTGACGTTCCCGATGAAAATAAAGAGCATTGACAATTTCGTGCTTCAAAACCCTCACATAAGTGTAAATGTGTTTGGGTATGATGAGGAGAAGGACACCGTATACGGCCCACTATATTCAAATGGAAAGGAGAAGGAGAACCACGTAAATATGCTTTTCCTCGATGGACCAACCCCCGATAATTATGGCCATTACATGTGGATTAAAAATATGTCCGGTAAGAAAAAACATAAATATATCAAAAAAATATATGAAATAATTATATTTTTATGTCAATCCACTTATACATATAAATACATTTTTGTTTTACAGACTTCTATCATCACAATTGGGAAAAAACGGTGATAAGCGTTGGTTCTGCAACAAGTGCCTCTCATACTCAACAAATGAGGCCAGAGCTCAACGCCATGCAGAAAGATGCACCAATATTGTGAGCGAAGCACCCAAGGAAGGAGATGTCATCAAATTCGACCATATTAACCGCCAGCTGGAGGTACCCTTTGCTGTGTATGCCGACTTCGAGTGTATACTCGAGCCCACAACGATAGATGTAAGTGAGAAGACGCAAATAGTAAATAAGCATATTCCGATTGCCTTCGCGTATTATATTAAGTGTTCATTTGACCCTGCCTTAGACAAATATGTTTCAAAGACAGGTTCAAATGTCGGGCGCACTTTTGTAGATAGTTTAACGTCTGCTATTTACGAGAAGTACATGAATTATATAGTCCCCCTTCAAATGAGTGCACAGGATGCTTATGATTTCGATGAGGCCCTTAACTGCCACATATGTAAGGGAGTTTTAGGAAATGATAGAGTGAGAGATCACTGTCATTTTACAGGTCAATTTCGAGGGGCTGCACATAGCGAGTGTAACCTAAAGTATAAGACAGGAGATTTCATACCTGTTTTCTTTCACAATATGTCTAAATACGATGCTCATTTATTTGTGAAAGAACTCGGGGAGATTGAGGGTGAAATTAAAATAATTCCCTTGAATAAGGAGGTATATATTTCAATTTCAAAATATATTCCTATAGGAAAAAATAAATTAGAAATTAGATTTTGTAACGAATCTCTCCGGCCGGGATAAACCTCAGTCGTGACCAGGGATCCTCTTCAAGAAATTTATTTAGAGGGGACGGAAATATTTATAGGAATTTATTATAACAGCGTGCGGGACCCGGGTTGCGAATTTACGCGCACTTAGTTCTGATCCCCGAGGGTCGGCAACGTGACTGCCAGACGAGGTGGTCACGAGATGCTCTAGGAGCAGGCGGGGCACACGCGCTGCTTGTCAATGGCCGGTCGCCGCGCTGCTTTTACCGACTCGTCGATCTGCTTGATCGGTCGGTCCCTGACAGAAAGCTGCTCGTCGCGAACTGCTTTAGACACTGCTTGCGCCTACTGCTTGTTTGTACTGCTTTCGCCGGTGCGCGGAGTGGCAACTCCGGTGGACTCCCGGCGGGATTTGGTTGATCTCGCCCAGAATTCGGGCGACGTGGGTCGAGGGAATGGCCAGGGCGTCAGAGAGGTGTTGGTCAACTCCGGCTGGGCACGGAGGCTGGCTACGGGTCGGTCAGGCAGAGATTCTCGAGTCACCGTGGTGTGCGGAATGGCCAATGCAGGCGTGGCGGCAGCGTGTGTCGGAGTGTCCCTACTCTAGGAGTGGATACGGACGCGGATGCACTCGTAGTCGTGGCGGTACACAGTACGCGGGAGACCAGCGTTAGTGGCGCGACGGCTACGGGCACAAGAAGGGGGTCCCTAGTGGGGCGAAGGCAGAGGAGCACGTGTCCTCCAGTCGCGGCGGCACGTTGAGCACGGAAGGAGCCTGTGCTGGCGTGGCGCTGCGGCTGCAGGTATGACAGAGGGTCCTAAACTGTGCGTGGACGGAGGAGTATGTGTACTCCAGTCGCGGCGGCGCGCTGTGCACGGAAGAGCCGGTGCTGGCGTGGCGCTACGACTGCAGTTGCGATAGAGGATTCCGAAGCTGGGCGTGGGCAGAGGAGTAGGTATCCTCCAGTCGCGGCGGCACGCTGTGCACGGAATGAGCCTGTGCTGGCGTGACGCTGCGGCTGTGGGCACGGGAAAGGATTCCTAACTGAACGAGGGCAGAGGAGCAGGTGTCCTCCAGTCGCGGCGGCACGCTGTGCACGGAATGAGCCTGTGCTGGCGTGACGCTGCGGCTGTGGGCACGGGAAAGGATTCCTAACTGAACGAGGGCAGAGGAGCAGGTGTCCTCCAGTCGCGGCGGCACGCTGTGCACGGAATGAGCCTGTGCTGGCGTGACGCGGCGATGGGAGCACGGGAGAGGATTCCTAGCGGCGCGGGGCAGAGGAGCAGGTGATCTCCAGTCGCGGCGGCACGCTGGGCACGGAAAGAGCCTGTGCTGGCGTGACGCTGCGATGGGAGCACGGGAGAGGATTCCTAGCGGTGCGGGGCAGAGGAGCAGGTGATCTCCAGTCGCGGCGGCACGCTGGGCACGGAAAAAGCCTGTGCTGGCGTGACGCTGCGGCGGGGAGCACGGGAGAGGATTCCTAACGGCGTGGGGCAGAGGAGTAGGTGTCCTCCAGTCGGGGCGGCACGTTATGCACGGAATGGGCCTGCGCTGGCGTGACGCTGCGGCTGTGGACGCGGGAGAGGATCGATGGGAGGCTGGATGGCCGTAAAACACGTGCGAATGGAAATGCCGAAACGCAGTGTTTTGGGGCCGCCATCGGGACAGAGATCGGGGAACCTGAAACCGTGACCAATACTACCAAGGAAATACTACTACGGGTAGGTTCAATTGTTAGTTTATTGGTTATTGGGTTATCTAAGTGTGTAGCCTACTACTGCCTTACAGAATTGACTCCTGTAACTTACGAATCTAGCCCCCTTTGTCTGCGGGCGTGTGGCTGCCGATCGCGGTCGTTGGCTGGCACAATTTATCTCCGCGAATGTGTGGGCTCCGGTAGCCGATGGCTCTGCGCGGTCACGTACGTCGCGGTTGCTACTCAGGACTCGATGCACTGTGTTTTCCTGACTCGGTCGCGGAGGCGCGGCGATGGGGACGTCTGCCTCGGTGCGAAGTTTCGACGGAAGAGAGCGAATGCCCGGAAGACGCGAGCTGTCACCGCTTTTGAGAACTGGTGGTTCGAACCAGTTCGACGCGATTTGATTTAGTTCGACTAGTTCGACTAGTCGATCATTTTCCCGGTTCGGCGACTTCTAAGGTGCCGAACTTAGCTTAATATTTTTAAATTAACTATTTTTACTTTTAGTATACTTCAAGTCTGCGTCTGTTAAGGCTTCAATGCCAACTTAAACGTTTAATTCATGAGATTTTTGTGTGGCTCCAGTGCCGTCTTAATCCTAATGATTATATAATAGGGGGGAATATCGATATACTTATTATCTAATTATTAATTTATAGCAAAAATGTTGTGCGCCTGTAGAATAGAGGCGTCACACTCCCTTCTTACTCCGCCCGGCCGAAACGGATCTGGACCTCTCCTGTCGTTTTCATGGTGACCTGATATGGGCCTTCCTGCGTGCGAACGCGGAAGCGCTGACGGGAGTACTGTGCGGCATGGCTCCGGCGCGCTATCTCCTGCCAAACCGCCAGTGGAACTCGCTGGTCGTGCGTGTTAGTCCACCAGGCGGCTGGTATGGCGACTCGCTCGGGCGCTGGGTCGTCGGTGGTGAAATCATCCGCCGGAGGGGCTCGACGAGCAAAGCGTGGCGCCGGAGGTGGAACCTCGTCGGCGGTGGTGGCCGCAGGAACTGGGCGCGGGAAGCGCGGTGCCGGAGGTGGGACCTCGTCGGCAGTGGTGGTCGCAGGGACTGGTGCTGTCGAAGGTGCGCTCGGGTCCCAATCTGGGATTAACTCCTGTAGCAGACCCTCTACTCCCGGCTCGAGCTCCTCTATGAGTATATCCATCGTGCCCGGAGAGAGATCGAACCCGCGATCTCCGAAGCCGACACGTGGGGTGGCTGGGGGAGTGACCTCCTCGTCGATAGTGGAGCGACTATGGTTTGCTGCTCGGCGGTTGGTCTCGGCGGCGTTGGGCGGCGCGTTCCTTGCGTTGGCTATCCCGCGGCGGTGGGCCGAGGATTGCTGGTTTGGCACAGCAATGTTCGGCGGTGGCCGTGGTTGCGCCTCTTTGCGGCGGAATTTTTGTCCCGTCTCCGTTTCACTATCGCTGCTCTCAGATTCCCACTCCATCGCCTTCCCGGTGGGCTGGTAGCCCTGCTCGGTGGTTTCGTTAGCGATGGGAATTGGGCCTCGGCTTGGGGATGCTAGCGGGGCGTTGTCATCGTCCTGGTTGGTGTTGTGGCCCGTTTGCTGGCTGGTAGATGCCAATGGTGTGTCGTTGTGCGTTTGGAGGTGGAGCGCTTGCTGGCTCGTGGACGCCAGTGGAGCGTTGTCATCCGCGGGGTGGATGAGGTGGAGCGCTTGCTTGCTCGTTGTCGTCAATGGCGCGTTGTCACCTGCCCGGTCGCCGGGGAAGATGGGTAGGGCCGCATCTTCCCCCAGTGCTGGCGACGGCGGGCGGACCTCGGGTGCGTTTCCCAAGTCCATTTCCCAGTCTTCGTCCGGGGCCATTATACACAGCCTCTCCGGTGACGGGGGAAAGGTGATGATTGGGTCAGGAGTTGGCCGGAAGGGTGCCTCGATGAGGATGGAGGTGTAGCGGGCGTGGATTAACTGGATCCACGATCCCCGCCAGAACCCGTACCGCTCCTCTCCTTCCCATTGATAGTGGGCTGCCGAAGGGGCATCATCGTCTGGCTCGCTGTCGCTATTAATTGTTTGCGCGTCGTCGTTGCTCTGCTCGCTAGCTTCCTCCCCGTGGTATCCGGCGTACAGAGGGGTGGCGTCGCTGTCGGTGGCATCCTCCAGCACGTAGTCCTCGTCGCGCGTCGGGGCAGCTGGACTGGGGGATCGGGAGTCTCCCTCCTCGTCGTCATCCTCGTCTGACTCCGGGTCCTGCTGGCGAGGGCTACATGGGCTGTAACGCCCTTCAGGTGGTGGAGCAGCAGCGGTCGGGTCGGGGTGTCCTGGAGCGGGGCGCGGGTTGTGGAACCAACGCGAGTGACCCGGCGCGTCCGGGTTGTGATACCCTTGGTAGGGTCCCGACGGCGGAGCTTGAGAGCAGGGGATCCTGCGTCCAGTCCTGTCCGTGTAGTACGGGGAGGCCGAGCGGCCCGAGGGTCGTGGAGGCGTTGGTGGCGCGGCGCGCCGTGGTGGCGATGTTGAGGGGGCCTCATCCGCAGGCTCGGACATCGGGTGCGGCGTGGCTCGGCGCGGTGGCGCTCGGGCCGTAGTTGGCTGCATCGGGGGCGACGGGGCTCGGGAGCGGCCCGAGGGTCGTTGGCCTGTCGTACGCTCCATTGGGAGCCGTGTTCTCTTCGTCGCTGGAGTCGATTGTGATGGGTTCCATCCTGGTTAGCTCGTGGCACGCGCGTAGATACGTCTATGGGAGAAAAGAACTATCCAAACTTAAACTAACCAGTACTTAAATGTTAATGTCCTAACGGGCAGTAGTAGGCAAAAGTTCTAATGTTAATCTAATTGCTAACAATGGTCTTAGGGTTAGAAAACTTAGTGGGCTGCTTAAATTCACCCCTCGCTGGTATCGTGGTCAGGTGGCCGTGGCTTGTCGGACCCGGGTTGAACGCCGGTGTTGTCCTCCGACATGGCGTCGTCGTCAGTGTCTGCATCACCTGCGGGAAGAGAAGAATGGAATTCTTTTAAGTCGGCGATATTGGCAAGGCGGCCCTTTCGTTTCCCGGGCAAGCGGATTCGGGCTATGTTTGGGGACGGAAGGGCGACCACTTTATATGGCCCGTCGAACTTGGGCGCGAGTTTGGCAGCGAACCCGTCCACCGCTTTGGATAGGTGGTGTTGGCGCACGAGGACCAGGGAGCCGATGGTGGGCCTCCATGCCCGACGCCTGAGGTCGTACTGCCGTCCTTGGTCGCGGCTTGCCTTCTGGATGTTTGTTTGGACGATCTGGAAAATTTCCTTCAGTCGTCCAGCTCGGTCGGCAGGGGTCTCCGGAGCGACGCCTGCTCCCGGTGTCACTTGATCGTACCATGAGCCTGGTAACCGCGGCTCTCGTGCCTGTAGTAGGAAAGCCGGGCTGTACCCTGTGGTCTCCGAAACGCTGGTATTGATGGCGAGGCTCAGCTCAGGTATTAGCTGATCCCACGTACTCTGATCACTGCCGACGTACTGAGAGATCATGGTCTTGACTGTGCGGTTCGCTCGCTCCGTGGGGTTCTCGCGTGGGCAATAGGGGGCCGTGTATTGAAGTTCTACGCCCATCTCCTTAAGGAGTCCTCTGAAGGCCTTGCTGGTGAATTGGGTGCCATTGTCGCACACCAGTTTCTTTGGGGCTCCAAACCTCCCGATGATTCTTTCGCGGAACGCCTGTATCAACGTGGTGGTGGTGGCTTTTCGCAATGGGACCAGTTCCACCCACTTGGTGAAACTATCGAAGAAGACCAGCAGCATTGTGTTACCTGCCTTGGAGCGCGGTAGTGGCCCCACGAAATCTGCACATACGATGCCAAAGGGTTCGTCGACCTGTCTCGTCAGCATCCTTTCTGCTTGTGCCTTTTGCTCTGCTTTATATTTCTGGCAGAGGACGCATTGACGGACGTATTGTTTCACGTCGCGGAACATTCCGGGCCAGTAATATTTTTGTGAGATCCGCAGAATCGTCTTCCGGGTGCCATAGTGGCCAGCCGTGGGCGCGTCGTGGCATTCTTGGAAGATCCGCGCTCGATGCTCAGCCGCAACGCAGAGCTTCCAGGGGATATAATCCTGGTCGTCTGGGCGGTGTCCGAGGTGTCGGTACAGCTCTCCGTTCTGAATGACATAGTCGGGAAATCTCTGGGGGTCATCCTGAACATCCGCCAGTTTTCGTTTCAGCCATTTGCACAATCGTTCGTCTGGCATTAGTCGCTGGAGGTGCTCCAGTGGTTGCCGGGATAGGGCATCGGCGACCACGTTATATTTCCCGCGGCGATAGTGGACATCGTATTGGTACTGTTGAAGTTCTAATGCCCACCTGGCGATCCTTCCAGTCGGGTTCTCAATTTGATCTAACCATTTCAGGGCCAAGTGGTCTGTGATCACGTCGAAGCGATAGCCCTCGAGATAGTATCGGAGCTTGCGGATTCCCCAGACGATGGCTAGGCATTCCTTTTCCGTAGGGGAGTAGTTGAGTTCGGCAGCGTCTAGCTTCCGACTCACGTATGCGATGACCCGTTCTTGCCCCTCTATTTCCTGCGTCAGCACATCTCCGAGCCCATAGTTACTCGCGTCGGTCTGGAGCGTCATCTTGACGGAAAAGTCTGGACATGCCAGTACCGGAGCATCCGTTAGCAGACTTTTGAGGAGCTCGAAGGCTTTCTGTTGTTCTTGCTCCCACTTCCACCGCTGGTTTTTGCGCAGCAAGTTCGTCATGGGCTGAACAACAGACGCGAAGTTCGGTACGAACCTCCTGTACCATGAGGCCATGCCTAGGCATCTGCGTAACTCTCGAAGACTCGTGGGTGGACTGAGGTTCCGCACGGCGGCTATCTTTTCAGGGTCCGTGTGAATGCCCTGGTCGCTAATGACGTGGCCGAGATAAACCAACTTCCGTTTGAAGAAGGAACATTTGTCTTGGTTTATCCGTAAGTTCGCCTTCCTGAGCCGCTTGAAGACTCTCCGCAAATTTTCCATGTGCTCTTCGAGACTGGCACCGATGACGATTATGTCGTCTAGATAAGCGAAGGCATATGGGTCCAAGTCTGGCCCGATCACGCTGTCGAGCGCTCGCTGGAAGGTGGCTGGAGCCGAATGGAGCCCAAAAGGCATGACCCGCCACTGGAAAAGGCCGCGGCCAGGGACCGTAAAGGCGTACACGCCCGACTGCCTGCTTCCATTGGAATCTGCCAATAGCCATTGCGCAAATCCAGGGTGGAAATATATTTTGCATTTCGGAGCCGCTCAAGGATATGGTTGATACGCGGCAGTGGATACGCGTCGGGGATCGACTTGGCATTTAGCTGGCGATAATCTACGCACATGCGCCATTGTCCAGTCTTTTTCCTGACCAGGACCAAGGGAGCGCTGTGCGGACTGCGCGATGGCTCGATGCAATGCTGATCAAGGAGGGCGTCCACCTGCTCGTCGATGATGTTCTGCATAGCCGTTAATTTTGTGGTTTTTTTTTTTTTTTTTTTTTTATATAAGAAAATATTAAAAAAAAGATTTAGATAAAAAAAATTGGGAGTGAGGGGGGGGGGGGGGGGGGGGGTTGGGGGTCGGGGTGGGGGGTTGGGGGGGCCCCCCGTTTGGTTCTTTGGGAAATACCGCTGCTTGCGCTTTGATGTGAAAGTTGGGAAGGGTCGCCGATGTTCTCGCTCGCTGATCCTATGCTCGGCAATATTGGCCACTGCCGGTCATTCCCTCGAATTGAACCAGCTGTTCGTATAAAAACGCTTGGATACGAGGGTCTTGTTCCTCGTTGGTGGCCTCGTATGGGGCGCCCTCAAGATTCTCCTCGGGTGTCTCGGGGTGTGTGTCGATGTGTGTCTCTGTGTGCTTGTCCTCGGTGTTTACCATCTCATGTAGGTTCATGAGATTACTCTCAGAGGTTCCTGTGCTTGGGTTCCTGTGTGCCTCTGTGTATTTCCCTTGTGTGCCCGCGCTGGGGCTCTCATGTGTCTCTGCGTGTCTACCTTGTGTGCCCGCGTCGGGGCTCCCGTGTGTCTCTGTGTGTCTTCCTTGTGTGCCCGCGTCGGGGCTCCCGTGTGTCTCTGTGTGTCTACCTTGTGTGCCCGCGTCGGGGCTCCCGTGTGTCTCTGTGTGTTCATTGTATTGCTCTCCGGCGTTAGTATTCTCGTGTATCTTGTGTTGCTCTCCGGCGTGTGTCTCCGTGAAATGGTCGGCGATGCCCAGGCGGGGGTCTTCCGGGCGAGTAGGCGGTGCTTCCTCGCTCAGCTCGGATCCGGCTGGGCCCCGTGGGCTGGGTGGTTCGGTGGTTCGAGAGTCCGTTGTATGTATGCTGCGTCTCGCGTCTCTGGGTGGCCTCATGTCCCGCTCTTCCGGCTGTCGTCTCGACAGGATGAGTTTGGCCGTCCCACACTGGATGGTGGTGCCGATCGTGGCCAGGAAATCCATGCCCAGGATCAGGAGTTCCAGCATGGCCGGCATAACGAAGAGGGGCACCTGGATAGTCTTCCGAGCGAGGGTGATATCGGCGCGCAGGAGTTGTCGAACCTCGACTCGCGAGGTGTCGGCCAAGTTAATTTGGGTGCGGATCTCCTGAAACTGGTGTCGTTGGCCAACTAGGTTGGCGACTTCCTGGCTGATGAAGCTCTTCGATGCGCCAGTGTCGATGGTGGCCAGACGTCGATGGCCACCGATCTCGACTTCTGCGGCGATCCTCCCTCTCTCGATTCTTAGCGGCGCGTTTACAAGGTGTTCGTTGCGGGATTGGTCCCCAACGGACTCCGCCGGTCGTGGGGATCCGCTCCGTTTCCCAGCTGGGGTCGACGACAGCACTCTACGGTGCGGACATCGCGTCGTCCGCAGTCCCAGCAAAAGTATAGCCGAGGGTTCCGGCATTCGCGGCTGAAATGCCCGGAATCCCCGCAATTTCGGCACGCATCCTGCACGTTGATGCGGCGATCTGGTGTCGCTACCCGGTTTACTCGCACGGGCGCGGGCGGCCGTACCTGGCCTGGCGTCCGCGGAACGTCGTTTGATCTGGTGCACCCGGGAGAAAATGTTTGACCCCCACTGTGGGGAGGCGGACGGAAGGAGGGGCTACTCGGAGGCGTTGACATGGCTTGGGATCGCCCTAGGCTGCGTCGCCTGACGGCTTCGAATTCGGTCGCCAGTTGAGCCAGCTCCCCAATTGTTTGGAACTCGCTGCGCCGAATGTACATCTGATAGTCGGGTGCGATATTCTCGTACAGGCGGTCGAGCTCCTGAGTCTCGTTATAGCCCGCGTGGCGCATGAGAACGCGAAGGTCGAGCATGTAATCTTTAAAAGTTTCTTCTCCTAGCTGCTCGCGACTCCGGATTCGGTCGTCCAAGCGCTGGAGGTATCTGGGCGGGAGGAAAAACTCGAGGAATTCCCGTCGGAATGTAGCCCAATCAGCCTCTTGGAGGCGGCTGGTTTGAAACCACTTGTCGGCCCTGCTCGTCAGCAGTTCCGCCATGGCTCGAAGGAGGAGTCCGAGGTCGATTCCATAGGACAAGGCCCGACTTTCGACCTGTTCGATGAAGGCCAATGGGTCGGAATACCCATCAAATTGTAGACCCCATTTGCGGATCCGCTCTGGGACGCACACAAAGTCGCGACGAGGCCGGTCGTAGCTTGGCTCAGC